AATAGAAACTTTTTTTTTTCCATTATTATTTTGGAAGAAATAATAGTATAAATAGTGAGTATAGAAAAAGGTATTTTTTATTTTCTTTACATTTTTATCCGGTTCACATGACAAAAACTGGCAATAATATTATATAAGAAACAAAGAAACAGAGAGAGAGAGGGGGGGGGTAGGAGCAGAGAGAGAGAGAGAGAGAGAGAGAGAGAGAGCGAGTATGAAAGAAAGCATGCGATTGATGCTACATAGGTATAATATGCGCGAGTATATGATGCATTCTAAACGCGAAAAATGAGATCAGAGATCTCAGCTTTGTAATATATATATATATAAATACTTACACGATCGAAACTTACCTATATTGTTACTTATAAATATAATATATAGATCTATATGGTACATAATACTGACACGCTACTCGCCTACACACATATACACGCACGCACACACACTATTTTAAGGCTTATGCTACAATATAGTTGAGTGGGGTAAACGGTTGGAGACAACTAAAAAATGTATAAAAAAATGTTAAATATATTATATAAATATAGGTATAGTTATATTCATAAATATGAGGGGTAGACGCATCTAAACTATATCATAACGCCGTATATATATATATATATATATATATATATATATACATAAAGTAAATGATTAATGTCGAACACAGCGCAGTGCGTGTTCAGTCAAGCATTAGTTTCATAATGAAAATGAAAAAATACAGGAGCTAATAATAATGAGCTATTATCGAAAAAAAAAAAAAATAAATAACTTATCCTTTTTGTCAGACTTTTTACAAAAAAGCATCGAATAGTAATTTATATAGTCAAATATAAACAGGATTTTTTTTTGATTTATACAAATAAGAAAATCAAGTCAGTTTAATGATTAATAAAAGAAAAATAACCTGCTTAGGTTAATAGGCTCAGCGTTTAAGAGCTTCGTTAAATGAAAATCTTTGTTTTCTTTCGCGATAGTGCCTTCAATACAAGAGGGAAACAGTATAAACCAAACCGGTCGATCATGTAAACCGTCTTTTTTACTATTTCTACGCTTGCTCCCCTATTTGTACAAAAAATAACAATGATGAACGATTAGATAATAAATTATGTGATAGGTATCAACATTTGCTTCTTTTCTATAAACAATATAATGTTATCATTGTGAAGACTGATAGTTTTCAGAAAGAAAATGTAAAACATAATCGGTTTTACAAATATAAAAGATAAATAATACGAAAATGATTTCTTTTTTACGCTCAATTTTGTGCATATTTACATTTGAACAATAAATCGTGGGTAGATTTACTAAAGTCGTATTTTATTAAAACAATAAACATTGTTGAGTATGGTTCAATTGAAAATGAGTATTTAATGTCAGAAATCATTGTTGTATCTTTTTGTAAATGAGATTTGAAAAAGAATCGTTCCGTACCTGAAAAATTTCATATCTATGTCATGGTCAAAAAAAAACAAAAAACAAAACAAAAAACAAAAACAACAAAAAAAAAACGATGCTTGCTTACATTACTGGATAATCATTGAATTGCGAATACGAATAAACATTGAATAATAACGTTTTAAACAGGAGAATGTCTTTTGATTGTTCGACCGGAGATTATTTTATTTATTTTTTATTTATTATTTTTTTTTTTTTTTAAATTAATAAAATTAAAATAAGCCAAGCCTTTTGCATAATAAAACGATGATTATTGAATTAGTGGCACATCAAGAAGAAAATGAAGTAGATTACAAAGATTCGAAAGAGTGGAAAGAAAACTTCAATTAAAAAAAAAAATATATCTCACGAGCGTCATACGACGCACTGCAATTGTCAGCCATGTAAATATATTCATAGTTCATAAACATAGATAATAAATAATCTAAGAAAAAATAGTTCCAGGCGAAAAAATCCAAAAAGATGTCGATTTAAGCCGTAACGGCGCACCTAGCGAGTGACAGTGCTGTTGTGATAATGTGATGAATTTATGATTCTAATTAATGATGATGATGATGATGATGATTATGATGCTTATGATTATGATGATGATGATGATGATGATGATAAAAACTAATGAAAATCTGTACCACGTGTCTGATTATCTTGTGAATCTTGTATATGTGAACTTGGAAATTGTAACGTTTGTGAATATAAAATAAAAAAGAACAAAAAAAACCGAATTCAAAAATTTTTTTTTTTTATTTAACAAATATCTTTAACAGGAATATTTGCATTTGGTTATTACATGAATAAGGCTGTATGATATTTTAAGTCTGAAAATAATTACAAAATTATGCCTTTAGATGAGTCTGTTTTATTAAAAGTTCAACTTAAAAGAATTTTTTTATTTTAAGATTTTTCTAAACATTTTTCTTTAACAATTAATTAATTATTATTTAGAAGCTAATATCAGATTTTTCATTTTTTGCATTTAAATGTTCAATTACATGTTTGTAACATAAGAACATTCAACTACATTTTTCATTATTGTTCGATAAATTTTAAGGGTAATTAAACGATGGGTCGATAAGAGATTTCTGATAATTATTTTGCCAAAATATAGATTTTAAATAAATTTCAAAAACAATTTATCAAGTAGTGATCATTTTTTGTTCAACGAACAATGCAACTCTTTAATTTAAAACACTTGGCAGAAGGTAAAAAATAGGATATGCAAATAAGTAAATCGATTGGAAGTCTATAAATAAAACTTGAGATTTACCAATCTAAGTTACGAAGGACTTGAGGGAATGAAATTGCAAAAAAGAAATATTGATCAAATTGATCACGTAAAAGCCATTGATCCATACTGTCGAAACTTTCAAATCCGTTTAATGAATAAGATATTGACTGCGGATGGAAAAAAATATTAAATGACAATATTTATTAGTATAAATATTAATATTAATTTTATATATTTGACAACGATTCTTCTTGTTAATATGATAATATAATTTTGACAATTTTTCAATAAATTTCTTCTTTTTAAAACAATCGCGTAACAAACTATTCATTTTATTCAGACAAGATATGAATAAATGTTTATGCATTAATTATAATAGCAAACTTATTATAACTAGAGGAAGATTTTTTTTATATATATATTTTTAGTATCTCGGTGTGTGTAAAATTTTTCAATATTTAAAATTAGGCATTTAAAATGTAATTAAGTACCTTGAAGAAGTTAGCGCCAAAAGTTTTAAGTTTATATTAAAAAAAAATTCCATTAGTTAATAAATAAATAAATAAGTCATTATAATGCGTTATATCATTATTATCTCATTGGAAATAAAACATTTGAAAAAAAAAAAAAAAAAAAAAAAAAAAAAAAAAAAACGATAAAAAGAAATTATTCGACTTATTCTCTTGTTTATGTATTAAATTAAAATATCTGTCAGATTTAATAAATACAGGTTTAGGCGTTACATTTGTATGTTGCTGTTAGCGACTTATCTAATCGTCTATTTTATGCGGTAATATTTCAAATATAATATTGATATATTCTCACATTGCATTATTATCGCATTGCAAAATATTAATATAAGGAAAAAGTACATTTTTTATATACTCGTATAATTTATTTAATAGATAAGTCTTTAAAACCGTTTGTCCAGATGTGTGAAATATACGTAGCCAAATATATTTTGCTTGCAGAATGCAGAATGTAGAGTCCATATCACAATACTTTGCATTATATATTTAATAATTTCAAATAGAAATAAGCAGTAAAAAACGAGCAGCAATTACATTAAAATTAGCTTGAACAATGCAAAAAATGTAATATATATTATGAAATAAATTTGTATAAATCTTGAAGTTTTTAATAAGCTTTGATTATTATTATTACTAAAGCTATTATCCAACTTTTTAAATCTAAGCATAATTTATGCATAAATTTGATTTGAATAATAACAATGGTCTATTGTGATTTTGAATTTTATTTTCAGATAGAGATCAGTTATTTCATTCGGTAGTTTTATTAATTCTTGGAAATTGTAGAGACAGAACGTATCCGAACGTTATTCTTAAATATTATTTTGGTTATCGTTTGATATAAACGCCGATTTCATCATTCAAATCTTAATAAACTCGAGCTGCAAATTATATGCTGATAAAAAAAAAAAAAAAAAATGAATTTTTTCTCAAGTATTTATAAAAGCTGCCAATGGTTACAAACGTCCGAAGATTTTACGATAATTTCAACAATAGCATAAATCAATATTTCGAATTATAATTTCGTATTTCTTTAATAGTAAATAAATCAAAGTACCGTGTCCAACAATTATAGAATACAAATTTTCTTCTTGCCTTGTCCAATCATTTACGAAATAAATAAATAAAGATAAGAAATAATAATAATAATAATAATAAGAAGAAGAAGAAGAAGAAGAAGAAGAAGAATAAGAAGAATGTTAGACATAATTCTTCTACTAGGCTGCTTTATTTTAAGAAAATTCTTATTTTAACGACTTTTACATTTATTTCAATGCCGTGAACGATAATTTCACAAGGCAAATAAATATCTTACACTAGCGAAACATAACATTAGCCATTTAAAATCTTGAATCAATAATTGCATTTATCATTGCAGCGACATACCATTGCCTTGTTAATTTAATTAGCATAATATATAGTGCGATCAAGTATGGCCATTAATCACATTCTGGAATTCAACCTTAATATCATCTCGCGATAATGTTAGTAGAAATAGATTATAGAGCTTTCCAATACTTTTCGATCTAACTGCTGTCATTGCAATAGCTGTAAGCTTCGAGAGGCTTATTAAGCTGACTTTTTATTATTACAAAACATTAGAAGCCCATTTGCAGCCCCTCATCGTCATCCAAGTATCTATCGGAGGTCGTAATGCACGAGCTCGCCCACGCGTACCTACGAGTAGCAGCTCGCAACTCACACAGGATCATCGTCTACTTCTTACGGTATTATCTCTACCGTATTGTTACGGTATTGTCACGTTATTGTTACGGTAATGTTACGGT